CATAGTCCGAGCCTGACTCAGTCTTCGACGGCTCGCTGGGCCCCATCCCTCTGACTCCAACTCACTGGGCCTGGGAAGGACCAGGAACCCTTTATCCACTCTCCCTTCACTCATTCGCTCTTTCATCCATTCTGACCCAGATGATTGCAGCGAGCAGCCAGAATTGATAACAACTGGACTATGGCCTTGCTACAAAAGCTAAATTGAATGCAGAACCCTCTCCATCCCTCTGAACCAGGTTTGCATTTTGGCAAGAGCCTCAGGTGATTCACGTGCACACCACCCTGTGAGGTGTCTGGCTAAGGGGAAGTGCTGCTGCTAAGAGGGTGTGGGCTCAGGGGTCGATGGCAGGATAAAACAGTGGTTAGAGCGTGGCCTCTAGGACTGGCACAGCTGGGCCTCACCTCCAGCTTCTCTCTTGACCTTGACCTTGGAGCCCACACCACTCTGGGCTTGATAACCGAGTGAAGATAAATGTTCTGAGATTTCTGAATCTCCACTGGGAAGGCTCAGGAAGACCTATAAATAAGTAACCTGGAATTGCAACAATTCAGTCTTACTTTATACAGTGGTGACAGTCAGAAGCCCAGAAGTCACCCTCCTGGGTGGCTGAGTGGGACTCTGGACAGGCACACTGCTGAGTCAAACCTCTCCTGGCTGCCCACTCTGAGGAGGGACACCTGGGGCAGATGCCGGCTGCTCCTCCCTCAACCACCTTTCTCTCACTCTCTGTCTTCACTGAGTCTTTTTGTACCAAGTTATCACTTCCCAACTTTCTTTGCAAGATGGGAGGCTGTGTGACCCTTTCTGACCACCTGCTATGGCTCCAAGGACAATTTTCTTTCTGATTAACAGGGAAGCTCCTGGGAGAGCTCTCTTCCCTGAACACCTTTCTCACCTTGGAAACTGTCACTTAAAGACTTGATGCTGCGGCAACTATCTTGTGACCATGAGGTGCCAAGCTAAAAACAGCAGAGCAGAAGGCTGGAAAGCATCTGGGCCCTTGTTGACATTGTTGAGCAACAAACCAACTGTGAGGTCACCCACATCTCGGCTGGTGTGATAACAGAAATTCCTACTGTTGAGGCCATAACAATTGTCCTGTTATTTGAATGTTTCCTAACAGTTTTGGGGCATTGGGAGCGTATCTCCATGGTAACCTCACAGGGGACCATGATCGGGTGACCCACCTGTGGGAGTCAATGCAGGAAAGGAAGAGTCGGTGGCTGCCACATGGTGACTGCAGCAGACACACTGACTTGTAGCTGTCTGTGGGGGTGTCCTGCTGTGCACCCCCAGAAATAACTGGAAGAGGAGGATATTTTGCAACAGTGACTAAATCTCGACTACAGACTGGGTACCATAAGTCACAGGCTGAGGCATGAAAAGCATTGAAAATTTTTAGCAATCAATTGGTAATATCTGTCACGGCCACAAAATGGTGAAGCGGTAGCAATGTTGGGTCCCACCTCGGTTCTCTCAGTGCCCCTGACTGCTCGCTCTAGGGATGCATCCAGAGATGGAAACAGCTGGAATTCTCCCATCCCCACTCCAGGAGGGGACAGTCAGGAGCTAGAGCCTCTGAGGAGCCCGAGTCCCTTCTTGGCCTTGCCAAGGAAGGGCTCCCAGGATTCCAGGAGGAGGTCCAGCCTCTTATACCAACCAGGAGGCCCCTGAGAACAGGATCACCTCGCCTCCTCCAAGGAGCCACCAACAGGGTCTTCTAAACACCAAATCACGGTTTTGTCAGGTGCAAAACAAGAGACACCTACCGAAAGTCCCGTGATTTAAGTACAATGATCCACCAGAATGGACTGGCCACTTCAAAGCCAGGAGCAGCAAATCCCTCTGGGAAATGACCTACTGATTCACTAACAGAAAGAGGGTCGTGAAAGGCCTGAACATGGAATAGACACACCTTAGAGGGTTGGCAAGGCTGGGGTTTGATTTCTTTTAGTCAACCAATATTCAGTGAGTCCTTCCCTGTACAGGTCACAGGAGGACTCAGGCACAATTGCCTTTCCACCTCCCCCCTGCCCCCCGACCTTCGGAGTCACTTTCTCCTGCAGTTTTCTTGGATTCCAGGAACCACAGGTCTGATTGATCAGCATCTTTAGGACAAGCAACTCAAACTTACTCCCATGCAACAGGGAGCCTTGATGAATAGATCACCCGCAGCTGAACTGCCCCACCCCCAGCAGGAGCAATTACCCCATGAAGGAACCTACATTGCCCCTTAAGCATTAGGAGCAATCATCTCGTGTTGGGAACCGAATTGTCCCCTGAAGTGATAATGACCTTCCCAGAGCTCCCACACCATCACCTGACCAAGCCGATCTAATCCTCCAGGTAGAGCTAGCTCCCAACCAGGGTCTTTTTCTATAAAACCTCAAGGTTCCTGTCAGCCCCTTGAAGACAGATCTTTGGTCACCTCTTCTTCCCAGTGAGGCCACACTGCTTAAATTTCCTTTCCTGCCCTTCATAGCCACTTGCCCTCTTTGATTGGCATACAGGGACAGGTGGCCAAGTCTGGTCTACTGGGGTCCCTGGATCTCAGGCCTTTGCCCTAGGACTTTGGTAACCTAAGGATGAACAAAGGACATGGGTTTGGGGTTTTGTCCTCATCCAGCTTAGGGGTGTGCTGTGTAAACAGTAGCCACTGGCCACATGCAGCTCTTTGAATTTAAATTAACTGAAAGGAAATAAAAATACCAATCACATGTAAAGTGCTCCGTAGCCACGGGGCCACTCTCCAAGGCTGGACATGCAGCAAGCCCTCCAGAGACCTCTGTGGGGGGCAAAGGGTGAGGGATGTCTGACCTTACAGCCAATGACACCAGTTTAGCTACTGGATGAGAACGAGAGCCAGACACCTGGATTGGATCCCAGTTCTGCTGGCTGATGAACTTGGCCTGTACTGAACCCCTCTGGGCCTCAGGGTCTTCATCGGTAAAATGGGGCAAATAATGATATTTGACCAAAAGGATTGCTAGGGCAATTAAATAAGTTAAAAGATTTAAAGTACTTAGAACAACTCCTTGCATACAGCGAGCACTGTGTAAAATGCTAGCTATCATCGTGGACACTGTCATCTTCCACGGGTCTTTGAACATTTTAGGGAGAGAGGGAAAGATGCCCTGCCTCTCATTCTACTTCAGTTTCACTCTTTGCTCTCCAAGTAGCAGCAGCAGCCAAAGCCATCAGAATCCCTCTGAAATGAACCCAGAAAACGGATATAACCATCACTATCATATTAATCAACTCATGCTAAGAAATTTCCACATATCAGATCCCTGCACGAAGCACTTGACCTGTGCCCCGTGTTTACCAACAGGAGTGTACTATTAAAACAATCTCCCTTTTACAGATCAGGACCCAACCCGCCCACGTTTACAGAAGGATCTCGAGGCCAGTTCCACTGGACACCACCAGGTGGCAGTGGCCATCCACTTTCCAGTTCCGCAGTCTGGCGGGAGTACTCTGCAAATGCTTGATGAGCGCCAGCTGTATGCCAGACAGTATTCTAGGCGTTCACAATAAGCGATTTTAGCAAATTCGGGGGAGAGGGAAGAGGTCTGCCTTTCCATTTTTTCCTTAAAAATAAAAGGTATTCGTGGAAATGCTTACCTAAGGGACACATGACCTGACTGGGAGAAAACTGGCTTGGAGATGATGGAACTGGCAGCCAGAAGGGTTGGGGGTATTTCGGAAGGTCAGTGGTCCCCAAAACTCAGAGACTATAACCATCCCTGGAAGGAGTGTTATTTTTCAGCCCGCCTGCCGCGGAGGTGCGGTCATCTCCCTGTTGTGTCTTCATATATTTTGTGGCTGGGATTAGGAAGGGTGGTTTCACCCTGAGAAATCAAGAATGGAGAGAAAAGGGTGACTCTCAACGACCCATTTTTTGTCCCCAGAAAGAACCATCTGAGACAAGCCCCAGCTTGCAGATCCGAAGGTCACCCAGGGAACCAGTACTGAAGCTCAGACACACATACGCGCGCGCGCGCACACACACACACACACACACACACACACACACTCCGCCAGCCTGGTCCGGGGGATGCCAACCCCAGACCGCCCGGTGAACGAGGAGGGGATTAAGTGCCGAGGTTGGAGGTTGCCATGGACCCCCTCTTCACAGAGGTCCCAGCAGTCCAGTGGACACGTGTCCTGGTTGTGCCCTCCGTCTGCGAATCTCACAGCTGGAGGCTAGAACCTCTGAAAATGTGCGCTGGGGAGAGTGGTGGACGCGTGCGTACGTACGTGGGTGATGTGCGCGGTGGTGGCGGTAGGAATCCTGCGTACGACCCACGTGAGGGGTGCACCATGTTGACGTGTGTGTGTGTGGGGGGGGTGTTTGGAGTGGACAAGGCTATGCGTGTTGAGCTTAGTTGAGTAAAAGGGCAAGGACCTGTGGGAGCAGGGTAGAGGAGGGCAGGGAGTGTGCTCAGTAGGGACCCCCCTAGAGGAGTCCGAGCTGCGTGTGTGCCTAGATGTATACCCGGGCGGCGGTGACTTTGGAACGCGCGGCAAGATCCTCTCTGCGTCCTGGACCCGGTGCTGGTGCGTTGTGGGAAAGTCACTGCTTACGAACCCACATTGGAATGTATACCCGGCAGGAGAAGGCCCCTGCCCCAGGGCCCCTGTGGGAGTATGCCCCAGAGGTGTGTGTGTGTGTGTGTGTGTGTATGTGTGTGTGTGTGTGTTGGGAGATGTTTCTGCAAATGGATCAACTTGGAGAATGGCGCGTCCGTACGGTTTATGGGTGCACTGTGGCTGTGGGGCAATGTCTTCGCATTGGGGACGCCGGACTCTGGGGGTGATCTCAGCGCTTTGGGCAAGGAACAGAGAGCTTGCCCCCCTGGGTGCTCACTGACAGCGCCAGGACTCGCACCCAACAGCCCGCGGGGGCCAGGGGCGGGGCTTGGGGGCCAGGGGCGGAGCCGGCCGGGGGCGGGGGCGGGGCCGCGGTCGCTGCAGCAGCGCGGGCCGGGCCAGGGGGCGCCTCGCGCGGCAGCCGCTCGCTAGGGCAATGCAGTGAGGCTGGATCGGCAGGCGGGCGTGCGCGCGGAGCGGGGGCCGCCACCGCGCTGCAGAGATGTGACTCCGGCCGAGGGCCAACTGGAGAGTCGGCGCTGCGGGGCCGCGGGGGTCGGTGAGTGCGAGCCGCGGCGACACAATGGAGGGCGCTGCGGGGACCCCAGAAACTTTTCCCGCCTTAGGCTTGGGAAGACTGCGGGGGTCCTCGTCGTGTGCTTTTCTAACTCCCCTCCTGGGGTTAATCTGCGGGGTGGGGGGAGATGTGGGATTCGGGTGAGGGGAACCACAGTGCGGCGGAAGAGGAGCCGCAGAGGGCGGGGCGGGGGAGGAGGGGCTGGGGACCTTTATCGGGGAGGGGGACCTGCTCCCACTCCAACTGGGGATCAAGTCTCTGGGGAGGGTCTGGGGTGACCTCAGGTAAAGGCAGCTGGGATGTAAGGCAGTCCTGGCGTGCCCGAGTGACTCGTGTGAGCAGAACCTTGGAGAGGACCCGGGGGTCGCGTGGCAGGCGGGTCGGGGATGACTATGGACAGGATAGAGCCCAGAGAGCAAGGGCCAGACTTGGGGGGCGAGCAGCCAGAGGCACCTGCCGCAGGGCCTGGGGGCCAATCTCGTAGCCGGCGGTGGCCGCGCACTGCTGGGCAAGGGCGGGGGCGGGGAGAGGGCAGGGGAAAGCGACCGAGCCAAGATCTGAGGCTGGGGGACAAATGGGGGGAGGCTGCATACAATGAAGGGGGGTAGTTTCCGTTCCAGACGCGGGGCACTTGGCCTCTGAGAGAGGTCGACCAAGCTAGAGATAAGGACTAACCCTGTGCTGTGTCCCCACTTATGGGGGGACATGGACTCCCAGCTCCATGGAGACCCCACACATCCCGGTATCCCTCCTGCCTGGGCGGATAGGCCAGAGCACGGCCTGAGCCCTCACCAGGCTTCGCCCCGGGGAATGGCTTGACCAGCCCTGGAGGGGCGCGGCGACCTTGCCCCAGCGACGCTTCAGTGCAGCGGACTCCTTCCCCAGCCCTTGCTCTGTCACACCCAGGCCTCGCCGATTCCTTCTTCCTTGTCCCGGGTTCGCTAAGGGGGCGGCTCCTTGGAACGCGGACAAAGGCCCCTGGAGTGTGGCGGGCAGCATCCTCCCCGCTTGGGGCCCCAGCACACGCGCCACATTGGCTGTCCGACTGCGCCAAGATGGGGGGCACCTGAGCAGAGCCCAGGAAGCACCGGGGGGGGGGGGTCTCTGCAACGACAAGAGAGGTGGGGGAGGGGCCTGGCACAAAATCCCGGGCGCTTCAGCCAAGGAACGTTTTTCAGAAGTTTCTTCGGTGGGGACTAGGGGCTTTCGGGAGTAGCCAGACTTCAGTTAAACTGCATGCAAATGGCATGTAAATAGAATGCAAATCGGCATCTGTTGGTTGGGAGCCCTCCCAGTTTTCTATCCAAACTGTGGAGTGAACATTGTTTCCAAACCGTTCTCTGCTCTTAGTGAAAAGGGGTCAGTTGAGTTGGAGGGGGAGGAGATGCGAGGAGGAAGGACTCGCCGTTTGGGGCCCAGGCAGCAAGAGGCACAGTTTTTTTAGAAACATAAGCTAGAAATCGATATGGGTTATTATTATTTTTTAATTTCAACAAATGTTCTGGTCCCAGAACAGGGTGTAAAAGGGACTGGCTCTTGCTTTTATTGGGGGCCGGGGGGGGGGGGAGGCGGAAGACTGAAGGGGCCAGTAAAGAGAAACGAAGAAAACAGGAATGGCAAATAGATACCACACAGTCTCGCCACAGGGCTGCTCAGAAAATAAGACAGAGTGATGTAAAGAAAGTGACAAGGGTGTACATGAGAAGACTTCTGACAAGTGACATTTAAGTGGAGCCCAGCAAAATGGGGGCCCACCATCAGAAAGGAGATTTGGGGGAAAGACTGAACCAGGCTGAGGCTTGGAGTAGCTCAACAAAGGCCCCAGTGGCTGGAGCAAGGAGGCAGATTTGGGGTGGGGGTGGGGGAGTGGCGGAGTGGCGGGCACCAGCCAGATCACCATCTTTGCAGCAGTGGAAAAGGGCTTATTCTGTTTGGGCTAGTGAAGTCTCAGCGCAGAGGTCTGAGCAAAGGGTTCCGAGCGCAGAGCCACAGGATCTGAGCTTTCAAAGCTCCCTTGACCTAGACAAGGAGACCCACAGATGACAGCTCCCAAGGCACAGGGCGCCTCCAGGGACTCTGTGCCGTCTGTGGGGACCACTTTGACCCTGGCCAGCCCTGTGAGCCAACTGAAGGTGTGCCTGAGCTGTGGAGACCCACTCCTCACTTTGTAGCAGTTCTTACCCATCCTCACCAGAACTTCCTGCCCAGAGCTTCTTCTGGGGTTGGGACTTAGTCACATTTTCTTCTTGGAATTACAGCCCTAGAGGAACGGTCCACTGTGGAACTCGCAGCCAAGGATGCAATTTGCATTTAAATGATTGCTTTTATTTAGAGGCTGGGAGCTGCTTTGCATATTCATAGAGCTTGTTCTTGCAAATCCCCCCCCCCAGCCCAACTAGCCCCCCTCACAGAGCCCTCCCAAACAGCCCCGGGTCTAGTCCGCGTTGGGAAATGAAGATTAGGAGATCGCGTAACTTGGAAAAGATATCAGAGGCGGGGACTGTGGGATCTGGGAAAGAGCTTAATGTCAGGAAACCTTGTAACTGTTTAATCCAGCCAAGCAGGAAGTCACCGTGGGTCCCAGTGGGAGTGGGCAGGGACACCGTGTGATGCTGGGGTGGTGGGGAGACTGGTTCCTCCACAGCCCCTTCCTGGGCATCTGCCAGACATGGGGGAGGGTCAGAACAGGGTGCAATGGAAAGGCCTTGGGGGGTCAAGGTCTTGGGGGAAAAAAATGGGTTCTAGTGCCACCTTGGCCTGTAAATTCCAGTAAGCCTCTGGCCAAGTCCCTTTACCTCTTTACCTTCCTTGTCCCAACAAGAAACTGGAAATCGAGAATCTTTTTAAGAAGCAGATACCCCTCGCTTCCTCTGTGCCAGGCCCCAAGCCCAGTAATTTTCCGGTACTTTTCATATCAGCTTAATGAAGGTTGTTCGGTGAATCCTGTTTCATAGACAAAGAGACTGAGGCTCAGAGAGGTTAAGTAATGCCCAATGTCACAGAGTTCGGTCACATTCCCCTCTTCTGGCCTCCCTCCCACTGAGGTCTTCCACTCTCCTGGAGTCTGAAGGGACTGGAAACTGTGCCAGGTATTCATCTGGGTACTGAACTATTAAATATGCCCAGGGCTAGGAAAGCTCCCCCCCAACACACACACACACACACACACACACACACACACACCTGCTTATTTTCTCTTTCCCTTGCCAGTTCCAGTGCCTCCCCCATCTTTAGAGAGGGTGGAGTTGGGATGCCTCTGACCTGCCAGGCACAGGGAGGGGACCCTGGGTGTAGGATAAAAGTCCTGCAGACCCTTGCAGAGAGCAGTCTAGCCCAGGCAAGGTCAGAATGGGGTGTTCCAGAGTGGGTTTTGGTTCTCAGGTCTCACGGGTGGGTGGGAAGAAGGGGATCCTGGGTCCTGGGAGAAGGGCTACTGTCTGGTCTGCTGGAGTCCCCGCTTTGCCTCTGCAAGAGGGACTTAGGGTTTCAGGGCCCCCAGGCTGGCCTTGGGTCCTCCCCTCACAGCAAGGCTCCTGCTTAGAGCAGCTGCTGAGGGGGAACAGGAGCTTCTGGGGTTCCTCTGGGTAGACCACCCTCAGAGGCATCTGCTCTTCATGCCACCTCGAGACCTCTTTGCTTAGTGTGTGCTGGGGAGTTTGGAAACCAGCACTGGACAAACTCCCTGGGAGCCTCTTCCATCTCCGTCTCCATGGCAACTGCCCCTCCTAGGAAATCGGTTTCGGAAGAATTCGCTGCTTTGACAAGCCAGTATTTGCCCATCTTTTTTATTTGCTTAACATATTTTTTATATAGTGCTTGCCCCATGTTAACTGCTATCCTAAGTCCTAACTATTAATTATCTTAAGCCTCACCAACAACCCCACAAGATAGGCACTAGCGTCACCCCCATTTTGCAGATGAAGCAACTGAGGCAAGAAAGACTAAGTCAGCTACCCAGAGTCGCAGGGCGCTAGCAAGCGGCACAAGACAGTGCCAGGTCTTGGGGGTCTTGTTTTGGTTTTTGTTTGGTTGGTTGTTTTTGTGGTGCTGGAAGTGGAACCCCGGGGCCTCCTACATGCCAGGCAAGCCTCTACCACTGAGCTGCACCCGCAGCCCAGGGGCAGGATTTGAAACTGGGCGGTCTGGCTGTGAGGTTCACAGCACGCTGGAAGGAGCAGGGCTGGAGAACCCGGGCAGACCTTGCTGTCCTCACATGAGGGATCCTGCCTGCATTCTTTCCAGCCTCTGCCTGCCGCCTATGTGTGTGTGTGTGTGTGTGTGTGTGTGTGGATTGTGCCGTATATTTAAGAACATCTGAATGAGTCACATTTCTGGGAGCCTGGCTGGCAGCAAAAGTAATTAGTATGTGAGCCGAATCTTGCCTCGTTCACATTTATTCATTACTCCTTTGGAGGAGCCCCCCGCCCTCATCCCACGGATTTGTTGCCTAGTATTCCTGGCCTCCCAGCCAGCCAGCCTGGAGCTGCCTTGAAACCTCTAATCTGGTTTTGTTCTGTTGGGGGCTTTCTGCAGAGCTGCCTGATTGTTGCAGGCGAGAGACACCAGGTGGCTAATTTACCAGGATGGGGGCTCACCTGGTGGTGGTCACGTGCACCTGGGAGAGGGCACTGACTGCTTGGTCTGGCGCAGGGGCTGGTGAAGCGGAAGAAAGGAGATGGCCCCCTGCTGTCGTGTCCCTGTGCACCCTGCCTCAGTGTGCCCAAGCCTGGCCTGCAGGGCTGTGGAAGCTGTACCCACCCCTGAGAATCTATTTTTCTAATGAGCTCCCGGGCACTGCTGCTGTGGGCATCCTGTGATCAAATAATTGGGCATGAACACCCACCCTTGCAAGGTGACGGTAGGGTTAGAGATGGCTTTTATGAATTCACTCACTCAGCGACTGAGCGCCGGAACAAAACAGCCCAGAGCCTGGACTGCAGCGGGGAGGAAGAGATCAAAAGAGCAAAAAAATAAAATAATGGAAAATCGTGATGCATGCTAGAAAGCCAGTGGTCCACAGAGCTGGCCCAGTGCGGTGGGGGCCAGGAGAAACTCACTTAGATTCACTGGCCAGTAAAAGTCTCCCCCAAGGGACACTCTCTAAAGCCCTGGTCTACAGAAAGAGCCCAGGAACAGTGGTACCGTTGTTCGCCTCTGGGCTCCACCTTTGTCCAAGGATGACCTTGGACAAGCCACTGACCTCCCTGTACCACAGCGTTATCTCCTGTAAAATGGAGGCAATCAAGCGCTCACCCCGAAGGGATGTTCCCTAGATCCCCGGGAATTAAGGAGCAAGGGTAGTGTGCACAGGAGGGTGCCAGAACAGTCAGCAGGGACCATAGTTGTCCATGATGTGGAAACCCCTGGAAATCCTAGATGAGCCAGTGGCCTTGGCTTCCGGGGGAACACCTTGTTCCGTCGCGTGGGGTGGCTGTCACCTCATGGACATCCTCCTCAGCTCCCGGTTGCCTTCAGTTTCACCTACGCACTTAGACTTTGACTAGGGAGGACTTCCTGGGGAAAGGGGGCTGATTGAAGTGGGGGAATTTGAGGACTTGACCAGTGACAGGATCCCAGTTCCAATTGGCTTAGTTTGCCCTGGGGAAGCAGCTACGGCTTCACCCGTCCGATAGGCTCCAGCTGTGGGAGAAGGCGGCAGGACTCGGGTGCTTTACTTAGCTATTTCCTCTGGGTGAGCTCATACCCGCTCTCTCCCCGTGATGGAAAATGTATCCTTCTCCAGCGTCGGGTCTCTGTCCCTCTATCTTATCAGCCAGCACAAGAGAAGCTCTCTTTCCAGTTAACGCCAACCAAAATCCTAGGGTTGATTCCCACAGGTCTGGCTCAGGCCATCTGCCTTCCTGTGAACCAGTCAGTGTGGCCAATGGGGAGGACCGAGGGGCTGATTGACCAGACCTGGGTCAGACGTCCAAGGCAGCTTCTCCAAAGAAAGCTCAGGAGCTCTTCCCAGAAATGGGAGAATGGACGCCGGGCAACATAAACAACGGCTGTCCCGGAAAGAGGAGTGGGTTCCACCTGCAGGAATGGAAGCAGAAAGCAAGAGTGTATCCATTTCCTGTGTCAGCCAGGAGGCAGGAACTGGTGTCCGGGGTCACAGCCGTGAACACTCTGCACGGTTTCGGTAGCGCAGGCGCCATGATGGTGCTCCCATCATCTCTGCAGGCTTCCTGTTGTGGCTTCAAGGCCCAGCGGGGAGCAGGAGGAGGAGGGAGGAGCTGGGGAAACCAAGTCCCATCCACAGCCAGACCTGGAAAGAGGAGGACCTCTCCTGAGACCGTAAGCAGACACAGTTAGAGACGGCCATGTTCTTCTTGCAAGGAAGGGCCTTGGGGTGCAGGCCTGAGGCTGGGGCCCGGCTGGCTGCCGTCTTCCCCCCTGCTCTGCTCCCATCTAAACCAGTTTTCCCAGCCTTGGCACTGTTGGCTTTCTAGCCTGGATGATTCTATGTGGCGGGGTTTGCTCTTTGCATTGTGTGTCATCAGCAGCATCCATAGTCTCTGTCCACGTATCCAGTTGGGCTCCTGTCCCCAATTGTGACAAGTGAAAATGTCCCAGAATGTTGCCAACTGTCCCATGGCAAATTGTCCCTGGTTGAGACCCCCCTGGCCTAGGGGTACGTGGGTAGGAGGCATTGAGGGAGGGGTGGTGGTCAAGACCCCACAGAGGCTGCCTGAGTGTTTTGGTTGGGACTCTCTTAGTCAAGTTTGCCATGATGAGATGTCATTGGTGAGATCCACCCCAGGGCCCCTTTACCCTGTCGGGGACTGGTGGCACTTGCTTCTGACAGATCCAGTTTTTAAATTTTAATTCCCAGCATGATCCCAGACCTCGAGATCTGCATTTCTGTCTCGGATGATGTTTCTGCCGAGGGACATTGGGATATGCCCAGCGAGGGTGCAGGGTGTCACGCCAGCGCGAAGTTTTGAAACGTCAGGAGAGAAGTATTTTAATGTGTTGGGTTTTAAGTGGATCCATGTAAAGGACTGAGAGTCACTCCAGCCAGTCACTGCACAGGCTGCACGTGTGGACACAACCTAAATGGCTGTGGCCGGGCTCCAGCAAATGGATGCCGGCCGGTGGTCCTCACCCTGCCTTTGCCTGGGCGGGAGGCCGGGATGCTTATCTAAGGAGTCCCTCCCGCCTGCTGCCGCCTGCTTGGAGCTTGCCTTCTCTCATTTGTAGGCAAAGGAGGTGATCCCGCCACCCCAGGCACTGCCTCCTTTAGCAGCATCAATAATTGATGCCAGTCAATGGCCTCACGGCCAAGGCAGGATCTGAGATGCCCCTGGGATCTCCGTCCAGGAGCAGAGAGAGAGGGGTCGATGCTGCATTTACTTAAGAAGCCCTGGGGACAGGCGGATGCTGTGGAGAACACGGCCAGTTACAACCCCACGTGTGGGCTCAGCCGAGGACGGGGGTCCAGCTGGCTGGGAATGAGCATCGAGCACAGATGTGCTGGCTCCGGCTGTCTCATGACCAGGCCCCTTTCAAAAGCAGGCAGCTGTGGCAGAGAGACAGACTAAGTCACGTTCCCTCAGGGTTTGCTGAGCACTCCTTCTTGCCAGGTAGTGTAGTTTTGGACAGTGGTCCTCATCCTGTAAATCCCCCCGCCCTTGCCAGGGGACATTTAGCAGTGTCTAGAGACGTCTTGGATTGACGGTCACAATTGGAAGAGGGGACATGCTACTGGCATCTAGTGTGCAGAGGCGGGGCTGCTACTGGACATCCTACGCCACATAGGACAAGGCCCCCACAACCAAGCATGACCAGCCCAAGTGCCGATCATGCCAAAGTTGAGAAAGCCCAAGAGCAGGAGAGAATGTCCCAGCCCTGCCACATCTTTCAGCAGAGGAAGAGAAGAGAGGGGGAAGGAAAGTTTGAAACAGACCAAAACCAAAAAAGGCAGTTACAATTAAACTGAGAAGGAAGTAGATCAGAAGCTGCTGGAGAGACAAGGGGAGGTGACCTTGACCCAGGTCTCAGCCGAAGGCTTTCAAGCAGAGCCTGGCATATAGAAGGAGCAGCTTTCCCTGCCCAAGCAGAGGAGGCCAGAGGGCAAGAGGAGACTGGAGTTAAGGCCCTGCCGGAGGCTGGCCTGTGGGGTCCAGCTGGCCTGGGGTGAGAGAGGGTGGGAGGATCCTGCAGGCCTCCCAGGGAGAGACCCACTGGGGGGAATGAAGGGCAGATCCTGCAGAAACCCTTAGAGGAGGAAGATGGGGTGTTGGAGGGAGCAAGAAGCGGGGGGGGGGGGGAGGGCAAGGACGACGGCTCCTTTCCAGTGGCCAGTCCCCCTCGGTACCCACAGAAGCTGCCACAGTTCCCAGTGTCTGCAATACCAACATCTAGGGCTCCCTCCAATCCCTCTCCTGGGGCCTAGGCCGCTATCCGCACCCTCAGTTCTCCCTAAATTACTCACAGTGCCTGACACAATGTAAACAGGTGTCACACCACGTCACCTAGGGGACAGTAACAAGAACAAACGTCTGCGCACTTTCCCCATAGCCTCCATCTGGGGAGGGCCGAGTCCATGGGTACAGGAGGAGTGACTGGACCGTCCCCAATGCTGGGGAACTTCTGAGAGGGGTTGCTTCTAGGAGTTGGGTTGAGTGACCTGGTGCCAGTATCACCTTCTGGGCACCCTGTTGGGTCACCTGTAAAATGGAGGTCACAATAGGACCCGACTCATGATGAGGCATTGTGAGGCTCAGATGGGCCCAGTTTTTGGCTGGAGTGGGGTCGGGGATTGTTGGCTGTGGGTACTGAGCAGGAAAGGGGCCAATGTGTGCCATCCTTGACCTCCCAGCACGGCGCCTGGCCCCCCGCCGTCTCTTGAAATTTCGTTGTAGTCCCCTATTTTTGAGGAGGTTAGATGTGGTGCAGAATATCACATTTAAAGAATACAAAGAGTGTACAGGGAAGGTGAGTCCCCCTCCCACCTGGCCCTCCAGCCACGAGTGACAATGATTCACGGCTGTTCGAGACACAGGGGGTGCAGGTGGCAGGCGGAGTCCCCCCACAAGGGGGGACTGGCAACACTTTACCCATGTGTCTCAAGGGCACCACGTGGGCCAAGGTTTGAGATACGGTGGGTCTTCTTCAAGAAGTCAGGAGAACGGGAACCTCACAATGAACTTATCTTCCTCCCCAACCCCCTGCCTTTTCTAGAACGTTCCTGGTGCCAGAGAGAAAGATGAGAACCCACCAGGTACTCGTCCTCCTCCTGCTCATGGTGATCACCTCCGTGGCCTCTGAGAACTCCAGCACGTCCCGGGGCTGTGGGCTGGACCTCCTCCCTCAGTACGTGTCCCTGTGCGACCTGGACGCCATCTGGGGCATCGTGGTGGAGGCAGTGGCCGGGGCGGGCGCCCTGATCACACTGCTCCTGATGCTCATCCTCCTGGTGAGGCTGCCCTTCATCAAGGACGTGGAGAAAAGGAGGCCCGTGTGCCTCTACTTCCTCTTCCTCCTGGGGACCCTGGGCCTCTTTGGACTGACCTTCGCCTTCATCATCCGGATGGACGAGACCATCTGCTCAATGCGCCGCTTCCTCTGGGGGGTCCTCTTTGCGCTGTGCTTCTCCTGCCTGCTCTGCCAGACGTGGCGCATCCGGAGGCTGGTGCGCCAGGGCACGAGCCCGCCAGGCTGGCAGCTGGTGGGCCTGGCGCTGTGCCTGATGCTGGTGCAGGTCATCATCGCCACTGAGTGGCTGGGTCTGACGGTGCTGCGGGACTCGAAGCCGGCCTGCGCCTACGAGCCCATGGACTTCGTGATGGCCCTCATCTACGACATGGTCCTGCTCGTGGTCACCCTGGCCCAGGCCTTCTTCACGCTGTGTGGCAAGTTCCTCAGGTGGAAGCTGAACGGGGTCTTGGTCCTCATCACATCCTTCCTGTCCGTGCTCATCTGGGTGACCTGGATAACCATGTACCTCTTCGGCAACGCCATGATAGAGCACGCAGACAGCTGGAGTGACCCCACCCTGGCCATCGCGCTGGCGGCCAACGGCTGGGTCTTCATCATCTTCCACGCCATCCCCGAGATCCACTGCGCCCTTCTCCCGCCCCTGCAGGAAAACCCACCCAACTACTTTGACACGTCTCAGCCCAGAATGCGGGAGACGGCGTTCGAGGAGGACGTGCACCTGTCGCGGACCTACATGGAGAACAAGGCCTTCTCCATGGACGAGCACAATGCAGGTAGAAGGGGCAGAGCTAGGTGGGGTAGGACCTCAGGTCATTTCTACCACAAAGACGCTTACCGATGGAGATAGGTAGCCCCAGACCTGGGCGCCGTCCTAGCAGAGCAGAATAATCCCCGACATTGGCCCCTGGGCCCACACTGGCTTAAAGATGGATTTTTAATTTAGCTGTTTTGTCTCCCCTACCAATGTCTTACTCATGATATCACAAAAATTCAGCTTTCTGGCTTCTTTTGAAAAGTCAGGGTCTGGGGCTATGCAGGAGGCCCTGGGTTTGATTTCCCATCACTGCAAAGAAAAAAATTGGATCTGGCAACACGGGACTGACCTTCCCAAGGCTCTACCTCTCACCCTTCCCGAGGGGTGACTGCACCAAGATGGGGGTCACCTGCTGCTCAGTGCTCTCTGCCCCCTGCCAGGCTCCTGACCCGCCACCATACCACATTCACATGAATTCCCTGGCTCCCCAGAAGCGTTTTGAGGGTGCAACCCCTGTTCTTGATGGATGCAGGACACCATTGGGGGGGAAATGTTCCTGCCCCTTCCCCTACCTCAGTCACCAGGAGTGTTCAGGTTTGGGCCCTGAAGTTCCATGTCTAAGTTCAAATCCTGGCTTTACCACTTCTCAGTGTGCAGCTTTGAGCAAATTACATCACCTCTCTGAGCCTCAGTTTTTCTCCTCTGTGAAATAGAAACAATAAGAAAAATGTACCTTGTGCAGCCATCATGGGAAGTACCACCACTGAGCACCAGTCTCCCCTGGTACCTGGCAGGTTGTATGTGCATCTCAGTTGAGTTCCCTGAGAGTGGAATTTGAGAGAAGGGCTTGGATGTGAGTGGTTTACTTGGGTGGGGACCATGCAAGGGGGGTGGGCAGGGAGAGTCAGACGCCCACACCAAGGGCATTGATGATCTGATGGCCGCCATGGAGAACCGGGCCTCTGAGTGTAAAATGGGTCCCTGAACCAGTCCTGGAAGGACAGGAGGCTGGGGCATCCATCACCGACACCTCCCATTTCCCAGGGTCCTTATCATCCACCATCACTCCTGGTGAATGGGCTGAACAAATTCCACCAGATCCCAAGGCAGAAAAACAGATTTGGTGGGACCTGAGGTGATCTCATTTGGGAACCTAAAACTCTCCTACAGCTGAGTTCAAAGGTGAGGTCATAGGAGTCCTGGGGATGCCATACAGGTACCCCAGGGACCTGCCATCAATGCTTGAGAGGTGTCCCTTAGAACTATTACTTGAAGGGGGTTGGCTAGGTCCCCAGCACTTGAGATGAAATAAAATGACCTTTCCTCCGGTACCTGAAGATGCCTTGGGGCTACAACATTAATAACAACAGATAAGAACAGCAACCACCATGACTTTGCCTGGGCGGCGGGCACAGACCTGCTAGGCACCGCCCTGACTTGAGCCTGTCCTACCCTTCAGTCGGGAGGAGGTTGGCTCTGTCAGCGTCTCCACCCTGGAGATGAATGAACAGAGGGAAGTGCTAGGAACCTGTGCCATGGACACACAGCCAGGCACTGGCCCATTCCGGATTGTCAGGGCTCCCTCTTGATGTTCCCTGCTAACTGGGGCACAGTCATAACACGGGGTCAACCTCCCTGCATCCAGCACCATGCCCACCTGTCTGTCCCCTGCAAGCAGGAGGAAGCACACTGAGCCAGCAGTTCCTTCAAGGCCACCCACCTTCCTCTGTCCCACCTGACTGTGTCCCCCTTTCTCTACGCCCCTTGCCCTGGCTGAACCCACAAGAGGGAACACCTGTGGCCACCTCTGGATAGGGCTGCAGGTTGTTAGGTGACCCTTATCCAAGCTGCTTTCTTCTTGTCCAGAAGGAAGCTGTGTCTGGAAAGATGCAGCAGGGAGGGCAGTGTTGGCCCAGGTTGGGGACCGCTCCCTGGGATGCTGGAGAAGATGGGGTCAGGATGCAGCTGACCCCTTCAGGGAAGGTGGTGGGCAGAGGCCAGGAGGCTAACCAGTTCCTGGGGTCCTGTAGAGCCACCACTTTGCTGGCTCCTCTGGGAGAGAGGATCCTCTTTATCTGAGACCCCTGGACTCCAAGAAAGCAAGAACTGAAATGGGTGAAAACTCATGCAGTCAAGTTTTCCTGGAGAACTGGTCTGTTGCCTTGTTAGATTCTCAAAGGCGTCTGTGACTCCCCAGGAGGTCATGACCCAGTGTTGTTGAATGTGTTGGTTTGACCTTCTTGCAGTAAAGCCAGCACTACCCAAATTTCTGGGCCCTTAAAAGCAAGGACAGCCGGGTACGGTGGCGGTGGCGCACACCTATAATCCAGGGGCTTGGGAGGCTGAGGCAGGAGGATCATGAGTTCAAGGTCAGCCTCAGCAACTTAGAGACCCTGTCCCTAATTAAAATATAAAAAAGGGCTGGGGATGTTGCTCAGTGGTTAGGCGCACCTGGGTTTAATCGCCAGTGCCAAAAAATAAATAAAATAAAAGCCAGGACAGCCCCACTTCACTGTGTGCCAGGCACCATTCTGAGCATTTCAGTGGTCCATCTCATTTCGTCTCTACAGTAACACCATGAGGTCTTTTTTGCAGGCAGGAAACTGAGGCACAGACAGGCTAAGTGACTTGTGCAAGAGGCAGAACCAGGGCTTGAGCCCGGGCCTCCTGACAGAGCCCACATGCTTGCCTACTCTGCCACAAAAGTACCTTCCTCTTAAAGCATGTTAGTGTCTCATCTCAATGACACATCAGGGCGGCTCTGTATTTTTGGAAATAGGAGGATTGTCAGACCCATTTTACAGAGTCGGAAACCGAGGTCCTGGGGACATCAGGCAACATGTGTAAATTCAACATAGCAGAACAGGGAGGGGGGAAAAACTAATTTTTGGAATCCCATGGTACTATTTCTTGTAAAAATGTAGCCGGTAATTCATATCCACAGAAGATCCAGAGATTAAGGGACCTGGGGCTCAGGTCGGTGGCAACAGTGCCAGGGCTAACACGGGGGCAATGGAGGGTCTGGGAGATACCATACCCCCAGCCCCATGTGTTTCACATCCCATCTGTTTGGAGGTGGTCCAAAGCCAAAAACAGGTTGTCCTTCCATACGCCTGTGTGTGTGTGTGTGTGTGTGTGTGTGTGTGTGTGTGATGCTGGGGATTGAACCCAGGGCCTTGTGCATGCCAGGCAAGCACTCTGCCAACTGGGCTACATCCCCTGGGCCCATATGTCTCTTTTCCATAACAAAAATGCTTTTTTTCTTTCTGATGGTAGAGGAGCAGCAAGAATTGTGTAGAATCAGAAAAGATTCATGGAGGTAAAAATAAGAGAAGTTGCTAAAATCCCCACTTCCCCAAAAGAGCTACTCCCGAAGGTTGGTTCCCGCCTTGCCAAACATCTCTCAGGGCGCAGCGCTGTACATCTACTCCCCCCCCCCCCCGCACCACATTAGGACAGAGCGGCTCTTAGCCAGGCTGCGCGTCGCCAGCACCTGGACTGTCGAAGAAAGTGACCAACGCCTGCAGCCTCCATCCGATTAAGTCTGAGTTAGGAATTGGGTATTTTTCAAGCTCGCCAAGTGAGGCTAAGACGGAACCAGGTTGAAACCACTGGACGAAGCGGTGGTGGTCTCGTCCCCACCTCCGTCAGTGTTGGGAGGGCCTCTCCAAAGGTCAGCAGAGGCAGTTCCCATCAGGCGCCCTGATTTACTCTTCTGGTCTTCGACGGGTCAATGTCCTGCTCGCCTACACCTCTCCGCGGTGCTGCAGTAGACATCCTTACCCTTCATCTTTCTGCTTTGGGTCAATTAACTCCTTGCAAAATAGTTCCTCTCCAACGGCTGGGATTATACCCATTCGCCACTCGTGCCCGGCCATGGCTGGCACACCAGGCCCTTCAAATCGGATGGCACCCCGGAAAAGCAGACTGATTTACTGTCCCCCACTTGATAACTGCATGACAGCCACCCCCATCCGCACCCCTGCGCCCGCACACACAAGCCTTTAGCACCCTTCTGGGTGTAGTCAGAATTTGTTTTTTAGTGGCCCTCTTTTGGATCATCCCAAATGTGTCTTCCACCATATTTCACGGGAGACCAGGCATGACAGGCCTCAGGCAAAGCCAGTTCCCTCAGAAAGCTCTCCCAGAGAGTGAGCTGGAGTCCTGGCTGGGAAGGCCTTTATTCTAGAAACTCTTGCTTGGCTGGCTAGGGTCCATCTGGGCACGCTCTCTTGCCACAGTAGGAGCAGCTGTTGGTATCTCCAGTGCTGACTTCAGCCAGTTTGTATTTTAGGAACCTGGCCCCATGAGGGCCCTTTACCCTTGAGCCCTTGGGTCTCAGACTAGCCAGTCCCCAGGAGCTGCAGTTGACCCTGTTTCTCTTAGCACCTGAAAGCCTGCAGCTTTTCAGGCTCCCTTGAGACTCAGTCCTTCCCTGAAGTGCCGGGAGATGGGAGGGAATTCATCAGGCTGTACTGTGGCTTGGCCAAGCCCCAGCAGCCTCATCACATATCTCCTTTCCTCCCAAGAGAGCCCCAGATATATACAACTTCACCAGCCTGGGGTTTATTAATAAGTATCAACAAGGCACAGATATGCAATAAAAGGTAAAAATGGGGGGTGTAGCATCTTGGATCACATCTTAGAAAGCTTTAACAAGGCATATTAAATGTTCACCTTCCAAAGGAGCTAAAAAGAAAAGTATTTTCTTCTGTTAGGACTTTGGGCTCTAGAGTCTCATTAGGACCAAGGGCTATTTAAACTGACTCTTTGGCTGGGGATGCAGCTCAATGATAGAGCACTTGCCTAACACTGCAAAGCCCTTGGTTTGATCCCCAGAACCACAAAGATACATAAATAAACTAACCCTTTGCTTCCTGGTGGAAGATCCTGAGTTGACTTTGGTGGCAGGGCCTCGCTTGCAGGGTCTACAGGAGAAAAGGCTGGCATTTGACTTATGAGCTCTGATTCCTGCAGGGACCCCCTTATGGGAGAGCACTGCTTGCTTTTCGGATGTGGCCTGGGATGAATGAATCGACTGTGCATTAGTCAGGCCTTTTGAAATTAGTTGCAAGTAATTAAAACAAATCCAATTTGAATAGGCTAAAGCATTAAACAAGCCAAATGTACTGGGCAACAGGCTCCGGGAATGGTTAGATTCTGGAGACTCAAGTTATGACAAGATTTGGTCTGTCTCCATCTGGCTATTTGGGGTCATGGCCGCCCACAACTCCAAAGGGGTGGAAAAGGGGGACATTTCCCAGGAGACTTGAGCAAAATCCCAGAGTTAATTTCTATTGGACACGAATGCCTTTCCCTTGAACCAATCAGCGTGTTCAGGGAGATGGGAAGCCCTGATTGGCCAAACCTAAGTCCCGTGGCCACACTGAGGCCTGGGAGAAGGCTGTTGTAGCCGGCACTGAGGGGGCTAGAATGTTAGGAGGGCTATTCATCAGCGGAGGAACCACAAGTAGCCACTAGAGAGAGGGCCCCTCTGGCCAAGGCACCCCACAGACGACAGCAGAGTCACGCCTTTGTTTCTGTGAAGAGAATGTGTTTGGAGGCCAAGTTCCCAGCCGCAGCTGCTGGGTCTCTGCATTACAAGGAAAGCTGTGTTGGCCTTCCCTCTCCCCAGGCAGGCCTAGGCTAGGAGTTGGGAACGGCATAGACCATGTCCCACTTGGGTGCTGCTCCCCAGCCATCTCATGGACACCTCCCAGGAAGGGCAGCTTCTTGCCCAGCAGCATGTGTAATGAGTTGCTCCAAGGCCTGGAGCTGCCAACGCCAGAAGTTTTCCTGCTTCCATTTTTTTTTTTTTTTTTTTTGGCCCAGTCTGGGCTGAGTTGTCCCTAGCATCACTTAATTCAAGTTATTTCTAAGTAATAAAGTGTGATTAAACACATAGTATCTGGAGCCAGTGTGGTGTGATAGTTATGAACCCAGACTCTCTGTAGAGTTTGAATGCTAGTCTGCCCCTTACTTGCTATGTAACCTTGAGCAAGTTACTTAACCCCTCTGTGCCCTGAGTAAAGTAAGAGTATAAGTACCTATCATGCTATGAAAATGTAATGCTAAGAAAATGAAATGAATATATATGTGTGTGTGTGTGTGTATATATATATATATATATATATGTAAATTTTGTCATGTATATATGACAGTGCCTGGCTCCTGGTTGGTAATCTATGAAGGATAACTAGGCTGATTCTAGAACCTGCCCCCAAGTAATTAAAAAAAAAAAAAAAAAACTCAGGCTGGGCACAGTGATGCACACCTGTAATCCCAGCAGGTCTTGGGAGGCTGAGGCAGGAGGATTGAGAGCTCAAAACCAGCTTCAGCAGTTCAGCAAGGCCTTAAACAATTTAGCAAGACCCTGTCTGTCTAAAATACACACACACACACACACAGGGCTGGGGATGTGGCTCAGTGGTTAAGTGCCCCTGAGTTCAATCCAGGGGGCCTATGGGGTGGAGCCTAGGAATATGCTAGGCAAATGCTCTACCACCGAGCCACACCCTGTGCCCTAAGTCTCTTTTAGCAAAGCCAATTTAGTACTTTCAATGAAAATGAAGAAGATGAAGACCCATCTGGCAATTTGATTATGTTATATAGTTTTTCCTTTTCTTTTTTTTCTCCTTTTTTTCTGCAAGTGCTAGTGATCAAACCTGGGACCTCATACATACGAGGCGAGTGCTCTACCACTGAGCTACACCCAGCCTCGTTTTAAGTTTATGGAAAACAAAATCATCTCAACCTGCATGAGTCACATATTTACTGCAGTTGATAAGGCGACATGAGTACATGATTATTAGCTGTGTGTGGTGCCGGGGGGCAGCCCAGGCCTTGCACATGCTAGGCAAGTGCTCTACCACTGAGCCGCGTGCATCCCAGCCATACAGTCCAAATTTTAATTAGACCTCACTCTTTGTATTATACAGATCTGTGGGTTTTGACAAAGCACATCATGGCATGTGTCCACCCAGTGGTATCATACAGAATAGTGTCACGGCACTGAAATGCCCACACACCTCCTCTTCATCCCTCACCCCACACCAACCCGACAACCAGTAATCTTTTACTGTCTATAGTTTTGCCTTTTGCAGAACATGATGCAGATGGAGTTCCCCAGTGTGAGCTTTGACAGACTGGCCTCTTTCACTTAGCAATAGGCATCTGGGGTCCCTCCATTAATTTGGTATTTCTTTCCCAACAAGGAAATTTGACTCCCTTACAAGTACAGCAGAGAACACCATTTAACCACCTTTCAGAGGTAAAAAGTGCTACCTTATATTGTCATCATTGTTTCAGATCTCTGGGGACAGCCGCTTGCCAATGGTGACAATATGGCTGTGTTCTTGGCGGTTCCTACCTCTGTGTGGATCCAGAAGCAGTGACCATTTCTGAATGGTGTGACATTGCCCCTGTCATGAGTGGTATTCTGCAGTGAGGAGAGGAGCTCTTTTGTCAAAGGAGACCTGAGGGCTGCAGAGGGGCTTGTCACCCAAGGCCTGCAGGGGCCCTGTGTGAGGGATGGGTCAAGGGTCAACCCTGGAGCCCCCTTCCCCCCATAGCCTGAACCCTGGACTCTACAAACTTCCCAACCCACTGAGAGGGGTCAGGCTCCTGAGAACAAAGCCCCTTTGTGACTTGTTTTGAATCAGCTTGTGACAAAGGGGCGGGGCTATGCGGTGGCTGGGTGGGGGTGCCCAGAGCGCTGTTGTTGATGCAAGAGTAAAAAACAAAATTGTGTCTCTTTTCTTTTTTCTTTTTTTGGTGTTGTCGGACTGCCAATGGCTCCCTCCCCTCCCCCCTCAGCTCTCCGGACAGCGGGATTTTCCAATGGCAGCCTGGGGAAGAGACCCAGCGGCAGCCTGGGGAAGAGACCCAGCGCACCCTTCAGAAGCAACGTGTACCAGCCAACCGAGATGGCCGTTGTGCTCAATGGTGGCACCGTAAGTATCAAGATGTGATGTTTGGGCAGGAAGCCCGAGAGCTTGGGGTGTGGGAGCAGCTTCCACGGGGCACCCTTCTCTGGATGTCCCTGGCAGCTAAGCGCATGTAGTGCCGCCGTTCTCCTCTCCCTCTCCCCACCTTTCTGCACACACTGGAAATCCACCTGTACCTAGTTAACCACCTCTAGATTCATCTGGAAGAGGACCTGTTCTTGGGGCTCTAGTATCCAGTGGATTCTTTGGTTTCCACTAACACCGCCCCCAGCCTTCTCCCTGGGAGGTTGACTTGAAGGACAAGCCCACCAAGACAAAGCCCCCTCAGGTTTTGCTAGACTAAGTCCCCCCGGTCGCACCTCTGCCCTCGTGCCCCAGCTGTGTACCAGTTTCCCCACCCCAGCTCCCTAAGGGACATCTTAAGGAACGGAGTTGATGGCCATGTGTCCCTCCGACAGAAGCAGGTTCGCTCTCTGATGCCAAACAGACCCGCAGCAGAATTGCCACCCTTTCCATTCGCCTCCGTGGAATGACATCGCTGTTTCTCCACAATCCAAAGACATGCTCTCATCCCCATGTTTAATTTCCAAACATAGCTACATGCTTCTCAGAAATGACGCTGAGCCAGTTTACTTGTGTAAATTGGATTTCCATCCTTTATTTCACGTGCTGATTCCATAATCTCTTCTTTTTTTTTAATGGGAGTCAGGGATGATCTTGACCTCTCGAGGGGACTTTGGTTTTCCTGACCTTGAATATGTGCTAGGGTTCGGTCTGTGTTGGTTTGGAACATGCTCAGATAGAATCACAGATTGACATTGTAACACCCCCCACCATCTCCTGGGCTGTTTTCCTGTCCCATGCCGAGAAAAGCTCGACTCACAAAATGGCCTGTGTGTTATAATTTGGTTAGAAAAGGTCCTATTGGTTGCTCATAAGCCCTCCTGGATCCTTCAAGGATTAAAGAAACAAATGCCTTAGGGCTAGATGGTCACAACCAGAATCCGAGAAGCACAGCCCACGCAGGTTGCTGCTTTGCTTGGTTTTATTTGGCCCATCTGGGGAGAAATCGAGGTCACTTACCTTTGGCACGTTGTGAGCACATCGGTGTCTGACGTTGACTTTGCAAAGCACGGAGTTCTCAGTGTGTTATCCTTATGTTATTACAGATCCCAACTGCTCCGCCATCTCACACCGGAAGACACCTCTGGTGAACGACTTTTAAGTTCCAGAGAATAAGAATCTCTCTTACCAATTTCATTCCCTGGCCGTGTCTTTCTTGAGGGAGAAATCAGTAACAGTAGCCGAACAAGGCCGCCTCTCAGCCAGGAGAGCTGGAGTCCTGGGCAAGGGGATCTCATGTACATGTGAACACTGATGACCTGAAAAGCTAACACTGACTGCCCACCCCGCCCCCGCCACACACACAGACGCCCTGGTCATGCTGAGCAGCCTCAGTCCCCGCACACTAAAGCCAAGCTAATTGCAAATAGTACTAGGCTCATCCAATGTGGCTGGGGAGCCTGCTCCACCCTTGGGGCCAGGCTGATATGGGTTGCTTAAGGGGGCCCTACCCCATTTCCCTCCCTGGCAAGCTCTGGGCCCCAGGTAGCCTCTTGGAGATGACCTTGACCTTGAGGATGACTCATGGAGCCCAATCCCTGGCTGGCCTGGTGGTTTTCACATATCAGGGGAATTAAGGAGGCTGAGGGTTGATTCCAAGGCGAGGCCCAAACAAATCGTGGGGGGGAGCTTTATGGCCACTAGTGGTGGAGGGGCCCTGGCATGTGCCAAAGAAAAGGAGACTCTCCAGGCCTTGAAGGAACCACCACATTTAGTTCCTTCTATGGGCCTCTTGCCCTAGAGCCAAGGGCAAGAGAACAAGCCCCACGTCCTCCTTGTAGAGTCATAGAAATACTCTGGCTAGGGACAGCCACCCCTCCCTCCCGGCCTCCGTCATCTCTGTCTTCCTGCACTTATGGGTGCCCCGCCAAGCCCTTTCCCAGTTTTATTCCCACATTCATTTTCCAAAACTTCAATGGGGCAAACAGCTTAAAGCAGGAAGCAGTTTGGAAGGCCGGCCCCCAGCAGGTTTTCCCCCAGTGATGTCGCCTGGCAGGGCTCCCCAGGGCTGCCCACTAGATGGAGAGAGAGCGGGTCTGGCTGCGTGGCAAGCAGTGACTTGTTGGGTCTTTCCTGTGGATTTGGAGAAGGTTCCAGGGCAGAGTGAATCACGGGAGGGTTTCTTGCTGCTTTGGGAGGGTGTGGGGGACATTCCTATCTTGGTTTTCTGCAGGCTCCATGAAAATGGCTCTCTTCACAGCCCCTTGTTTCTGTCATGGTTTCCATCTGTCCTGAGCAAGTCATTCCTTTGTTATTTTGCATTGCAAACATCCGGGCCTTTAAAAAGCCCATGTTCTCTGCACTGTTTGGCCGGCAACGGTTCAAAGCCAAGAGTTTTAACCTGACGGCATGGAATGTATAAATGAGGATGGGCCTTCTGCATATACTGTAATCTCTACGTCACTTTTTCTATAAAATTACCCTTAAGCCTTTAACCTTTTAAGAAAACGGAAAAGGTCAGTGTGTGGGGGTGGGGGTGGGGCTGACCTCTTCATGAGCCAGTACCCCTGAGCTGACTATGATTTAATAAACCTGGTTTTTCTCAAGGCCCTAGTCTCTGCTGTGTCCCCTCCCCACTCTTCACCCCGCTATCCCATCCCTGCAGACCACTGGGGAACTAAGGCCAAGCTGGCCATCCCTGGGTGGCCCTCCTGCAAGTGGTACCTGCAGCTAGTACCTCTCCTGTGTTAACCGTGCATGGGGCCGGGAAACATGGCAGACGATGTCGGTCCTTCCTGGGCCTCCCGGAAGCACCCACCTGCCCTGCCCAAAGCATGTGCTTGCTTCTAGGAAACCAGACTCCAGTCCTCTCTGCTCGAGGACCACCATTGGGTGGGCTGAGAAACTTGGAGCCTGGGCGACGGGTGGGAGGGGAAGAAGCTAGGGGCTCAGTGGGGCAGGCGGTGATGCATGCAGACCCCGAGCATCCTGCAAATAAATCAGCCTCTGAACGCCTCGGTCCAGTCCAGTGAAAAACGACAGCGTTACACATTCTCGTGCCAGGAGATGGTGGCTCATCCCCGATCTCTGGAGTCCTTTGGAGCTTTCTGATACCATCAGTGACACGGTCTGCAAGAGCCCCCCCTTGCAAAAGGGAGGAGTTCACACCATCTCCTTTTCTAAGTTCTCTCTTGTCCACGCGTATAAAGGTGAGCACAGCAGAAATGGCTATCAGGTGCAAAGTCGAGTTTCCGCACCATGAAAACAGAACCATTTTTGGCTGCAGGAATCCTCACTTAATGAGACTTTCCTCCCTTTTAAAATTCCTGATAGGTTATTGCGCTTTGGGTTTTGTTTTATTTTGGCTCTAAGGCTCAAGGTGGGCTGGATGTTCTTAGGATGGGGCAGAGATGGGGGTGAGGGCAGGAGGGAGAGTTGGCTGTCTTCTCCAGAATTCACCTGGAGAGTGCCAAGAGGCATCTTGGCTCACCGAGGTTTAAACCCAGGATGGAAGGCACCTCTGTTGAAGATCCGTTCACGCAACCAGGACTTGTTTGGGGGAAGGGCCCCGAGGCAGCAGCTGTGAATAATCCCTAATTGTAAGCACAAGTCCCCTGTCCAGTTAGAAACCGCTTTGGGACTGTAACATCCACTCTTGTCCTCTCACTGAACGGAAAATTGTCATTCTGCCCTAGATGTCCCCCGCTAGAGATGGAGGGTGGGTATAAGGGAATGAGTATCGAGAACGTTACAAACTGGGGAGTCCTGTGAGTTCTGAGTGTTTCCAGGATTAAGGTCTGGTGTTGGAAGTTGGGTGACCGGTGCCCGTTTGGGGCACAGGTGCCGACAGGACACTGATCAAGGGCACGCTGGATGTTTTTCTAGGTTGGCCAAGGCTGGGTGGAATGCCTTGGGCCAAACCCCAAGCTAAAAGGGGGCATAGTGGCTTTTATAATCCAAGGATGCAATGATTATACCAGCTTATGGGTGTTCTCAGCAGGTGCTTTTTATTAATTGATTAAAGAGCTAAGGCTCATTTTTGATAGATAATATATATTTATTAAATGTATTAATGTGTGTTTTATAATGTACCTTTATCTTCCCCTGGCTGACTTGCTTACTTATAAAAAAAAATATTCAAGAAATTTTAAGACAATCAATGTGTACCATACATGACTGTATATAAATATTACAAATTTAAAAGGTTGTTAAGCATGGGCAGATAGGTTTTATTTTCAAAATGCTGTTCTTAACACAAAAATAAAGGCTTTACTATTTACTTAAGATGTGTGGGAGCTTATCAAAACAACTCAATTCCAAGAGCGGGCTTTCGTCTGAGACTGTGCCATTTTGAATGAGAGAATCCTGGTTAACAGCAAACCACAGAACAAATAAGGGCAATAAGTTAATTAATTTACCCAGAGAAGCTGGAACTTTCTATAATACTTGGGAAACTCAACAACAAAAAATCCTTTGTGATTGTTGTCTGAGTTTCAGTCTCTCATCTCGGGCCTGGGGATGTAGCCGAGTAGCAGAGCACTTGCCCAGCATGTCCAAGAGTCTGGTTTTGAGCCCCAGAACTGCAAAACCAAACAACAACCACAAAAGAAATTCAGAGATTTGAGACCTATATATGGAATTTTGCAAAAGTGGAACAACAGCACTTCAACTTCTCTTGGGACTAGATTTCCATCATATGTTTTGCTAGCAGTTGGCATAGTATGCTCCTGAAGCACTGAAGAAACATCTAGAAGAAAGAATGAATTTTGGGATAATGCAGAAAGTTAAGACAGGTATTTTTCTAAAGTATTTGCACTAAGCATGTTTGTGACAAATCCTATTTTGTGCAGAAAAGATTCTGTTTTCACATGTACTGAGTCTTGTCATTAAAGAAATCACAAGAGAGAAAGCACAATTTGGACATTTTCCTTGCCCGGGGTAATTGCGCTGGAGGGAAGAGATTCGGGTGATGATCATGGTGCTGGAGTCTGGTGGGCTGGCTCCTGGTACTCCTCCATGGTGCACTTCACTGCAAAGAGATGAAAGAGAATCAGGATCGATTTACATACCTAGACAGACTTGTCATCTGGAAACCAGAAACTCTGATGTGTGGGTGAGGCAGTTGCAGCAAAACCCAGAGACAGCCTGCTGGCTCTGGCCCCCCAGATCCTCGGGGAAGAACACAGAGCCATTGTGCTCCGAGGGCTGCACCTGAAAACCCAAGCCACTTCCCCACAGTCACGGCCACTCTGAATTCAGTTCAGAAAAAGGTCGAAAGAGAGCTTTGTAGGTCCAGGTGCTGAAGGAAGTTTTACTAAAGATGATGACAGATTCCAGGCTCTCAGCTCAACCCAGTCTGTCACCACATGCCCTGTTCCCCTCCACCCACCCCAAATAAAAAAAAAAAAAAAAACTTGGGTATTGCTGGGGTCAATGACAAGGTCAGAAGAGAATCGTTTCTCTGTCCATGTGGACAAAAATGTGATCCTGGTGATTTCCTGAGTCTGCCAAACAGGAAAGTTAGTTGGTCACAGCCTGGCACTTTCTAAAAGGGAAGTTAATCCCCCAAAAATAAAAGCTACTCCCCAAATAAATATAGAAGTTCAGCCCAGGGTGGGCTGGGGACATCCTTTTGGAGAGGATTCTTTTTTTTTTTTTTTTTTTGGTAGCACTGGGAATTGAATCCAGGTCCTCAGGGCACATGTTAGGCAGGTGCTCTGCCACTGAGCCGGATCCCCAGCCCAAAGACACTCAGTTTTTAATGTTTTTGCCACCAGTGTCCAAGTGCTTGCCTCGGACACAAATGACTAAGAGTGGGGTCCCAGGCTCCAGTTATTCCAGTTATTCGTGAAGAGCCCTGCTCTAGCAGAAAGTGTTGAGGTCATTACCAAGTCGGTACATCTATCTCCTTATCCTGATCCCCCACGACTAAGGGCATATACCAGCCAGACATCTGCACAGCGGAGAGGTCTGTTCCTATCACCAGCAATTTGGGTATTTCCTAATGAAATCGGGTGGACATTGTCAGCGACGCAAATGTCAGGCACACGAAGATTTCCTAAGGATTCTTGGGCATGATTCACTTCAAATAAATCAATTCCAGATCTTCAGCTCTCAGGCATGGACTTGGCCTTGGCAGGTCCTGTGAGTCCTTCAATCTGTCCTTCCCTTCCTCCTGTCCCTGTCTTGGCCCAGGTGCTGACCGAGAAGGTGATTTGAAATGCTGAGGGCATCCACACTCTCCTTTGCTTTCCGTGTTCCACTATTTTTTTTAAATGGTGATCAAAATGTCTAACGTGTTTATTTGGCTTTGTGCACTCACACTGTACAGGTCGTGCGTTCCAAACTGAAAATCCAGAATTTAAATGCGCTAACATTCAAAACTTTTTGAGAACTGACTTCATGCCACCAGTGGAAACTCCACACTGTCAAGGTACTGATGCACAAAATTATATAAAATATTGTACAGAATCACCTCCAGGGGATGTGTTTAAAAAAAATAAACGAATTCAGTGTTCAGACCTGGGTCCCATCCCCAAGATATCTTATGATGTAAGTTAAAATATTCTGAAATCTGAAACACTCCTGGTCCCTTTCAGCTAAGGGAGAGTTAACCTGTATTAACTCAAACCAAAATAATCTTTCTTCTTGGAGCCTGTGGTCTCAGGACCTATTTTTTCAGTGTACAATATGTATCTTTTTGTTCTCTGTATGGACGCTCTAGAGGCAGCCACAGTGAAGACCCTCCCTGCATGCAGACCCTGTTAATGTGACACTGATCCTTCACAGCCAAGGACACTCCGCTCCTGGCTAAGTGCTCTCCCAGCATCCCTCACGGGTCCCTGGTGGGTGGTGTGGGGGAAAGTGCTCATTTCCACACTTGCCATAGTCATGGCCTGCCGCCAGCTGTCCACGGCTGCCTAGCACAGGGTCGGGAAGAGGTGTGCACACGGAACGCCTCTGGGCCGCCCGCTTCCTCATGGGGAGGGACCTGGGTGAACCTGTGCAGCCTCAGGCGGAACTCCAGACCAGCCAGACGGCTCCTCTGTGTGTTTGGGGGACACAGGGACATTGTTGGAAATGCAAATTCAAGGCGCCATTCCAGATACAGAATCAGAAACTAGGGGTGGAGCCCAGCAATCTGCATTAGCAGACCCTGGGGCGGGGGGGGGGGGTCCAATAAACATCAGTATGAAGTTTGAAGCCCCCTGACTACAACTTCTCCCTCTGGCTATATTTAAGAATCATGTGGTCACTTTCTGGAATTTATTGGTATCTGAGCCTCACCCCAAAAGCCAGCCGCCCTTGGCCTATAGTCAAAGTTCCTGTTTAGCCAGGGCTGAGAAACAGACTTGTGTTGGAATCCTTTAAAGGAAGCTCCAGAGGTGTGATGATAGGACCTCCAGAGGCGTCTAGAAGCCCCCTCAGGTTCTAAGCATTCTAAGCTGGCTGCCTGTGAGTCTCAAAATGTAAACTCTCTCGAGACATTCTCCCAGCCTACTGTGCAGACGTGCTGCAGGCTGTTGGTAGGGGGAGGGACACTTTGACTTGGGGAGGAATCCCCAGCCCCTGTGTTTCCTTTTCAAAGCAGAGAGTTGGAGACAGTGTCTAGAACCAAGGGACTGGAAATAAGGGTGGGAGGGAGCCTCACAGAGGAATCGGCAGGGGGCTGGGAAGTCCCCATCCTCAGGTCCCACTCTACACAGATGTCAGAGTCTCTGGAGGTGCGACCGTACGGGAAACGGTGTTATCAAGTGACACTGAGTCTGATGAGGAATACAGGCGATTCCACACCTGTGTTTCCTGCAGGAAGCCCTGCATGGTGTCCCGGGACAGGGGAATCAGAGGCCATGGCAGGAGGAAACAGGAAACAAAATGTCCGTCCACAGCCACTGGATAAACAAACTGTGGTGGGCCTAAGCGGTGGTTATACAGCAGTGAGCAGGCCTCAAGGTGGATTAGCTTAGCGACACAGAGAGACGATGCCAGCGCAGGGTGATGCCTAGTGTGTGATTCTAGTTAGAGCAACTCTAGAGGCCGAGAGAGGCATTCAAAGGTGAAAAGACCCCCCCCCCCCAGAAGAAGCAAGAGAGAGTACTTCAAGAATCAGGGTAAGTGGCTCCACGGGGAGTGGGAGTGACCTTTAGGAGTGCTGAGCTCAGTGGTGGAGCGCTTGCCTAGCACGGGAGGCTCTGGGTTCAATTGTGAGCACCACATGTAAATACAATAAAGGTCCATCCACCACTTTGAAAAAAAAAAAAAGAAGAAGAAGTGCTGACAGTGTTTCCTTGGCTGGGTGATGGCACATGGGTGTGCCTTATATGTTTTATTGTCCCTATTGTACCTCTGTTTCACCACCCCCTGCACGTACACACACATAGACACAAAGGTGAAAAGAAAGATACCCATATTCTACTCAAAATTACAGTGTCAATCAATAAAAGAAGAAGCGCACTTTAGCCGTTTGGGGAAGAAGGGGTGGTTTGTAAGTGAGCTAGCGCTTATCTGTCGCTGCAAGGATCACAGAGAATGTCTGAAGTCTTGCTACAGGAGCCTATTAAGGATACAGGGCGTCCACCTGAGAATCCAAAGTGATTGCCTCCGGGGTGACACGGGGGTGGGGGTGTGACACAAGGGAGTGATGAGGATTGAAGGTGCTCACAGCAGGGCTGGCTTATCTTACGCCACCTGTGACCCATGAGAATTTTATGCAAGGGTCAAACCACTGGGTGCAGGAGCACACACCGGTAGTCCCAGACAGAGGCTGAGAGGCTGAGGCTGAGGCTGAGGCTGAGGCTGAGGCTGAGGCAGGAGGACAGATGAGCCCAGGAGTTTAAGACCAGTCTGGGCAAAATAGTGAGAGCCTGTCTTTAAAAAGAAAGAAAAGAGAAGCCAAGCTCTCGGCTTGGGGTCCTGGTCTGGGCCGAACCCAGCCTTGCACGGGAGGTCCTCAGTGAAAGGACCCAGGCAGGAGAGAGGTCAGGGGAGACACGGGCAGGGCTGCTGAAAGAGCCAGTGTCCACCTGAGTCTAGAGCATCATCATGGTTGGCTCCCAATTCCATCAGACAGATGTCTCAGTGCCCTGTGTCGTCCTTGTCCCCCTTGGCAGCCTGGTGCCCAGCCAGTTCCGGAAGAGCCGGGAGAGTGGAAAATCCCCGAGAAATGCGCCAGCCCTTCAGCTTCAGTTAAGGCAATGTGACAAGAAGGGCCTTGCATACTAACGAGCCTGCATATGCCTCTGCTTGGGTGCCCTCATCCTCCCCTGTTTGGTAGGTGACAGCCCCAAGGAAAACCTTCCAGCCAGCCGCACAGGACAGAGAGGATGCCTAGTGCTCAGGGAGAGAATCGGGGACCTCGGGGTCATGAGGTGACTCTTGTTGGCCAGAGAGGGCCTCATGACAAAGGACAAGCTGGGGCGAGGATTCAGATTCCTGGGCCCCCACCCGGCCTCCAGAGTCATTGCAGCCCAGGCCTGGGGATCAGCACGGGCCCCTCGGCTGCCTTGGGGGTGTCCTTTGGATCCAGCAAGTTTGGGGAAGAGTGCTGTATCACTCAAGGCCTGTCGAGTCCACCGCGGGGCAGGTTTGAGAATGCCACCAGCCAGCTAGGGGCACTGGGAAGACTCATGAAACGTGTCTAGTAACGTGCTTGGCATGGCGTCTGATCGGAGTTCAGCACTCCAGAAATATTGGCTGCCATTGTCCTTAGGCATAGCCTCTGCCCTCAACTAGAGGGGGAGCCGGAAAATACCCGGGAAACTCCAAGTGCCAGGAGAAGCCCACCAACTGCACAGGGAGCTGCCTCTGTGGATGCTCCCCGACTCGCTGCCCCGGAGCCCAAGGCCAGCGAGAGGGGGCTGCGTCACACTCAAGTAGCAATAGGTGGAAGGAATCTTAAGATGTTTATTTATTTATTGGTGGTGCTGAGGACTGAACCCAGGGCCTTGGGCATGCCAGGCAGGCTCTCTACCAACTGAGCTGTATCCCCAGCCCTTCAGGTGTTTATTTTACCCAATTAACACCTATCTT